ATGCAGCAAAACCTGGATCATGTCCTGGGTGCTGCCCAAGGACAGCAAATGCTTCACTCTTTTGTCGTTTTGGTGAGTCCTCTTCAAAGCCTGAATGAGCCTCCTGGCACTGGAGGAGAGTTGGGAGGCACTGGCTGACCTGGGGCTCCTGCAGCCCCACTCTGGTCTGGTCCAAACCCACGAGGGCTTTTGCCTTCATTCTTGGGCCTCTCCCACCAACCATAAATGCAGGAGAGTATTTAACAGGCATTGACACAAACCAAATTTGTAACAGATTTTTCTGGACAAAGGAGGAAACTCTTCCCTCTGCCAGGAATCCAGACCTTATCTTTTGCAGCACACACTATACAGGGAGCATCTTCCAATAGGTCTCGCAGGGAAGTTGCATCTTCCATAAGTGCAGTATCCCCCTTGCCGTCTGCATCCAGCTGCATTTCAGGTTTCCATGGGGAAAGATACACATAGAACAATTAAAGCAATAATCTGAGAGAGCTGTGTTTGGTCACAAAAGGCTGATATTCCCTGTGCATTTCAGGCCAACAGATGGGCTCAGCTCCAACCTCTCCACAGCAAAGATCAACCACAATGCAAAAGATCATCCAGAAACACCAAAACAGGAACAGCTGGGTGCAAGGTTGGAGCATTAAACACAACCCCCTTCCTGACCCACAGTAGAAGCCAGGTTTTTATTTCCAGGGGCTCCCTCCAACCCCTGTCTATGTTCACTTAGACAATCACTGGAGACCCACCGTTCTCCTCAATCTCCCCTACCCTTCACATCACTCCAACTGACGTAATCACTTGCTGGGACATGGAAAATCCTAATGATGAAGGTTTATACCTCCTCCTATCTCCCCAGTTGCCCTCTCACCTGCAGCACCCTGGACCAGCAGGAGGAGCAAGGGGAAGAGCAGGTACAGAATCTTCATGGCTGATCCACCACTCCCACGTCTTCACAGGGCTGCAAAGGGCACACCAAGGCAATGAGGACATGGAGGACCCCAGGGGGTGCAGAAGCCTGGGCACTGGGGTTCCCCAAACTGCAGAGGGGTTGCCTCCAAACACAGCACATGATCTTTCCTCTACCTTTCTCTTAAGAACAATTCTGAGGTCTGTGCCACCTTGCAAACCTTGGGAGTGTTTCCTCATGTCTCAGTCTCTGGGAAATCCATTACCTAAACTGATCCTTTTCCAGGAAACCCCACAGTTACCTACCTGATGAAGGTCTTGGTGTCCAGGCAACAACAAACCCAAGAGGGATCACTTGAGTCTAGATGCCCTTGGGTCCAAGGACCACGTTTTTTGGCCAAAATGCTCTGATTTTATATCATCGCAGATTACAGGAACATTCCTTTATTCTTGCTGACACATCTCCCCTCGGCCAATCAGAAAGCCACCATCAGTGTGGGGGTGCTGGGGCTTCCCCTTCTCCCTCCCTGCTGCAGTGGCAGAGGCTGAGGTGTCTCCTGGGGCTGTTGCAATGTCACCCTTATCCTTCTGCAACATGTCCTGTGATACCCCCTGCACAGCAGCACACGGGCTGGGGGGGCCTGGCATGACCTGCCAGGCATGGGCAGAGCAGGCTGGTTGATGCAGATTCCAGTAGAAATCAGTCCCAATCATTCTTTACTGTGTGAGGCCCTGGCACAGGTTGCCCAGAGAAGCTGTGGCTGCCCCATCCCTGGAAGTGTTCAAGGCCAGGTTGGTCAGGGCTTGGAGAGACCTGGGATAGTGGAAGGTGTCCCTGTCCTTGGCAGAGTGTGGGATGAGATGATCTTTAAGGTCCCTTCCTCCCCAAATCATCCCGTGATTCTGTGATAAAAAGATAAAATATTTGTCTCTTCCTTTCCTGTCATTTTACTCAGTGAGCTGGTGCTGTGTGATGTGCAGAAACATGCAAAATATTTTGGTTTTCTTCTCTTTTAACAGCTTCATCCTTGCCAAGGTGAATTGTGTTTGATACGCTGGGAAGTGTCAAGCTCAAGGTTGTCTTTCTCATGCATACTCAGATCAACAGCAGTGGGTAAAAGAAAAGCAATCAGATGTCAATCACCCTGTCTGAATGCACTGCTCCTAAAACTGCCATTCTTGGTATAAAAACTGCAAATGTGATTCAGCAGAAGTAAAACTCCTGTTTAAGGAGTGTAAAGGTGTGCAAACTAAGGGAGATTAGTGAAGGAAGGTGAATAGGACCTTAGTAGGCCTTGGAGATGTGGACTTGATTAAGAGAGTTTGTGGATTTATAGGAAATCTACGATGTTTCAGAAAGGTAAAGATCAAGGTGGATCGTGAAAAAACAGCCGATGGGATAGAAAGAAGCAAGACATCCCTTGTGGCATGTCATGTGGCCCAGCTCAAGTAATTATGGCCATGCCTGACATCTGATCACCGTAATCTGTCCTGTGTTGCAAGTAAACTTTAATTCTAACCGTTTTATGTACAGTCTGTCTCTGGCATGTCTCCATGGCTGTGCAGTCCTCTAGCAAGCTTCAAAACAGAGCACTGGGTATGGGAGAGAACACCAGGAGTGTTGGTCCATTGCCCAGAGATACCAAAGTTCTGGGAGTTGAATCCTGGAGAAAACAAAGGGGCTTGAGGTTGGATGCATGAGGGGCACAGGGTTTAGTGCCATCTATCAGAGACACGCATAGAATCATGGAGTAGTTTGGGTTGGAAGGGACATTTAAGATCATCTCATTCCAACACCCTGCCATGGTCAGGGACACCTTCCACCAGACCAGGTTGCTCAAAGCTTGTTCAACCCAGCCTTGATGCACGATGGGGATATTCCCTGAGCATCAATCCACAGAAGTAGGATTGGGCATCCATTGTTAAGTCTTTGTGGATGTAAAAGTCCTGGGAAGTTTGGTACCAGGCTCAGGATCACTCCAGGACCAGCAGAGCCAAGGACCCTCTATGGTGTGGAAAGGTCTTCTCGTCCACCCTGCATGGAGGCCGTGGCTGGGGATCTTGTGCTGGACCCCACCAGAGAGGCAGCTCGGCCCTGCTGATCCAGACCCGGATGTGTACCCACAGTTGACATCCCGGCCTGGCTTTGGCCCATCCCCATGGAGATGCCCAAAGCCCCAGGCAGAGGCTGCTCCCACCCCCTGTCTGCCCTGTTCCCTGGTGGGGGGCAGTGGGATGCCCCCTGCCCTCACAGCTGCCGTGGTGGACTGACCCATGGCAGTGTAGGGGCCACTCCCATGGCATCCCTGAGCTGAGCATCATGGATCTGCTCCAAGGATCATCCATAAGGCTGACCCACCTGGGCTCCTAACTGAGCCTCCCAAGCCTATAACCAGCCCTGAAACCCCTGC